GATCAGAGTTCATAGAAGAGGTCCACGAAACCTTCAAGATTTGACGACTGTTTGTGTGGAAGAATGGACCAAAATCAGCGTCTTTAAGCTATCATTACAAACAAAGGCTTTTGTACAAAGTATTAGATAAATTTCAGTAAGCGTGTTCAATACTTTTTCCCTGTGCCATTCCACATTATTACAAATAACTTCATTTCTGGACATTTATGGTTTGATTTCTTAGTATGTATGGATCACTTGGGTTGTTACCGACATCTGGTGAAAATTTCATGTCATTAGCACCTCTAGTAATATATTCACTGAGGAAAATGGTGACATGTTCAATACTTATTTTACCCGATGTCTGTGTTGTTTACGCTGTGTTCCAATTGATATTTTAGCTCTGAGATCTGAAATTCGGACCTCCAACTTCCAACTAAAGCAGCATCAGCTAGCTGTAGCAGCCTTTAAATCAGACTAACTCCAAAGGTTTATCAGTTGCAGATATGAACATTTTGTGATTACTTCCTGGTTGTTTCATTAAATTCTGCTCTCTGGTTGATGAGTTATTTTGCTGACACTACCAACACAGACAGTAATGTTAACATCTGCTTTTACCTTTTGTTAAACGAGGGCTTTAGTCTTTTATTTGTACAAACCTATTCATTTCTTTTTTCTTTTCTTTTCTTTTTTTATTTGAAAACTAATCATGTTGTTTGCAGATTGTCATCAGATGATAACTGATTCCTGTAAACTTGTGCACCTGACAAGATCTACTGAAAATAGTTAATCAGCTTTTTTTTTCCCTTTTATTCTGGCCTTCTTGTCCCTTTTTGATAAGACAAGTGTCTCCTATTGGACAGGAAACAGACCACTTGTATTTTTCAGTCACAAATGACGTTTGCTTTAGAAAGATTTAAACACTTGTTAAATAGCTCAAAAACAATTACTAAAATGCAATAACTGTTACTTGTTTACTATTAGCAGAAAGTGGCATACAGTAGATTAATAACTAAGGGATGATCCATTTCTCAGGTCCTGCATCACTTCTATTCCAGATTATTTTCACCTATTTTTTTCCTTTATATATATTATTTATGTTCTGAATGTACAGTGGGTCGTTCTGTCCACCACTTGCTGACTTTATTATTTTCTTCATTAGTGCTAGCTGCACAATGTCATAGTCAGGTAGAAGAACTGGACACTTATCCAAAATGACAAAAGTAATTGTAAACCTGAGTTGTTGGCTCAAAAATAGGAGTTGTTTGCATCATTTGCATGAGACTGTGCACAGTTTACTAATATATTATGATAAAAAAGTTACCCAGCTTAATAGCTGTCATTATCATTGTCTGAGGTTAACAAATATTGTTTGTGTAAAAGCATGCCTCTGTTCGCCTTCGTTTCAATGCAGTGGCACATCTGTACCAGTAGGCGGGGCTAAAACACCAGAAACCGTGAATGTGATCAACCAATCACGTTTAAACTTGATGGCGAATAACGGAAGTTACGTCACCACAGTACCAACGTGCTGCTAACAATCAAGGTGAGCGTATTCTTGTAAAAATTAAACAATGTCATTATGGAAATGTTACTTTTAATAGTGTCGAGTTAAGCATATTTTAGTAATCACAGTAAAGTTGTGGGCTTATGCCCGAAATGATTGTCGGTACTTTCAAGGTTACGTGTCGGTTAAATAAGGTCCTCATTGATTGGTGATAAATCAACTATTCTGTTATTATATTTTACACAACACAAGCTTACATTCTTAAAACCCTTTATAAGCTCAAGCGTCAGTGACAGCGTGTAAATGACCACTGACTTCCCCAGTCATTTGTCTCGTTTGATGGGTTCTGAATGAAATGGCGAACTTCTTAATAAATTTGTTCGTATTTCACTTTGAAATCAAATATAAGGGAAGGCAGGCGGCATGGAGAGTTAACTTAATGGCTTGTGGAAAATGGAAGTTATTTCTTTAATTCGGCTTGTATGACGCGCGGAAATCAAAGCGTAGCTATAATATTTTTAACTAGTTTTAGCCGAAGAGCTAATGCTAATTCAGGCTAGCATCGCAGCCTTGTGATAGGCCAGTTCAGACACTGCAACCCATGTTTTTAAACGTTTCCCCGGATTCTGCTGAACTTATGACGTGTTGAGTAGGTAAATTAGTCATTTGAATCAGGTGTGTTGAAGCAGGGAAACAACTAAAACCTACAGAACAGAGGGCTGTCAAGATGTCCATGTAGAATCATTTTTATTGATTTAATGCAATATTCTGTAAAGTGTGTTTGGATTTACATTACCTGTAAGCTATAATCAGCAAATAAATACTTAAAGTATCCTACTTTGTAGAGATGTGGACAATTTTTTAATCCTACACCAATATTAAATCTGACAGCAGATTCCAAAAGAACATTTCAAACCAAACAAAATAACACCAAAATCATGTGATTATCTCAAGTATGAGGGAGGTTATTGATGTTTGTTTAGGTGAAATCAGCTCATGTTTTCTTGCTGCAGTTCACAGCAGAACACAATTCATCTTACTGTTTTCTGTTTTTGCTCATAACTTCCTCAGTGTTCAAGATATCATGAAATTTTAGGAAAAGATTCCCATTCTGGGTTTTGTAGGAAGCATCTAGTATCCTTAAAAAAACTAATAAAACTTAATAATAGCCAATTCAAAAGTAGGGTTGGGCATAATCGTATCGTGTGCAATTAATCGCCAGAAAAAAACATTAATCGATTATTTTTTGGCACTTGACGATTAATACGATTAATGCCACTCAGAGCTCCTTTCAGCTTCAACTATGACAAACATTAAGAAAAAGCTCTGTAATTTATTCATCAACACAATTTAAAAAGTGATGCACAGCCTGGAGTCTGTAATTTTGACACAGTTTGGAACAGATTTTTATGAAGAACAAATCTTTTCCACTAAATTGGTCATGTGACATAAGGGTGTCCAGGGGATTAATCTTCAAATTAATCGTTATCGGCCAAATACCACAATTAATCGTGATTAATTTTTTTGCCAATATTGCCCAACCCTATTCAAAAGTAGCAGAAAAGGTATAAAATAACATTACAAGGCAAACTGTAGCATCAAATCAAATTAATGTGTCTTAGAAAGTAAGGAAATTAAAACAATTTAAAAACCATGTGGACATGTGTTTTGTAAAAAAAGCTCCTCAACCAATGACAGCGTCTTAAATGTGTCATGTGACGAAGACAAGCGTCAAAACACTTTGCAACAAGCGCTGTTCCGGATAAAAAAAAATACACACTTTGACGTTTCAAATCATTATCAAATGTGGAACAAGGGCAGATAAAATAATGTTCTTCATGGCAGCTTATCTCTTTAAGGTCACTAGAAAAACTCAGGTGATTTACTTTGATCCTCTTTTCAAAAAATTGTCTCTTCAAAACGCATCAACAAAAATTAAAAACTGGAAGACGAGGCTGTTGCTAACTACCTGACGGCAGCCCGGTTTGTTGAAATTCGTAGAAATAACGAAGCAGGAGGAAATTACAAGCAAACACACCGAGCAGCCTCGCAAAATCTGGTCACAGCAGTTTGGGAAGAAAATGGCAGCAGCTGCTGACGACATGTCAACATCCCTACACTTCTCTTTATAACAGGAGTTTCTCATTTTGACCTGAATGACTAAATAACTTTTTTTGCATACACCTATATGAGGAAGTATTGCTTACTTTAAAGCCATTTTGTGGTCATTAAGATGATTTAAGCAAAGACCAATATAAATGCAATAGTTAACCTGCAGCTTCAGTTTCCAACCACAAGAGGGAGCCAGTAGCCAGAGCTCCAATTTCTTGTTCCTATAAAATTCTTCACAGGTTACCTTTTCAATCAAAACTAAAATATGAATTTATCTTTTTTGTGCAGCACTTGGACACTAAAGTGGTGTGCAGTCATGTGGCCTGTAGTGTGGACCGCATTGCGGACCTACGCGCCTTACGTCACCTTCCCCGTGGCCTTCATGGTGGGAGCAGTGGGCTACCACCTGGAGTGGTTCATCAGGGGGACGCCCAAACCCCGAGAGGACGAGAGGGGCATCTTGGAGCTGAGGGAGGAAAGAAAGCTGCAGGAACAAGTCGGGCAGGACGGCACTCAGGTGCTCAGCCTGAAGGAGAAGCTGGAGTTCACGCCTAAAGCTGCTCTCAACAGAAACCGACCTGAGAAGAGCTAACTCGTGTCAGGTCGACAGACTCGTGGTTGCAGTTTTTTCACCTTTAAAGATGGCACTCTGGGGTCAAAGAGGGGTGAACTGGAGGACAAAACCACCTTTTCTTCTATTCGCTGCAGCTACATGTGACTTCCTAAAAGCCTGAACCTGAGCTGAACAGCAGAGAGGAGCTGGAGCAGAATTTAAAATATTCTTCAAAGCAGTTTTCTGTCACATTGAACCATCTACCAGTATTGTACACAAGCTTCAAGCACGGGTTCATCAATGAAACACACCACTTTAATCATAACACCGTATTTATTGAACTTTCTGCTTTGATCTTATGACATACTGTTTCTGCAAGCACAAACAAACATTTTATTCACATCAGGTTGTGACAAAATGACCCAGATTCTAATGTGACTTTCAAGTTCTGAAGGTGCTGCACTGTTTCGATGTCGATGAAAAAACAGCTTTTTCTTCTTTATTACTGTCAATGAGATGAGCCAAAATAAGTCTGATAGTTTTGGAGGTTACTGCACTGTTTGGCAGAATGTTTGGACTGTGCTCATAGCACTAACATTTTAGAAAGTCTGGATCTTTAACACACACAAATATCCATATTCTGACTTGTGGAAATAGTAATGAATAAAACAAAACATGTTTTTAAGCTGAAAGCGTGTTTGATTGAGATAAGGTTGGTTGCTTCGGAATTGAAACTGTAGAATTTATCTTTAAAGAGAAAAAAACTATCATTTTTTTTTCTTTTCAGTTTTGTTTTTTCCTCATACAGTAAATTTTCTTCCTCCCCACCCTGTCCTTTCATCAGAAAACAATGCTCAATCTAAAGATGGGAAATAACTCCAAATACTAATAAAGAAAGTAAAAGTTAAAGTTCAGCTTTAATCTGCTAATGAGAAAAGCAGGTGGTAATTATTTTTTCTTATTTGGCTTGTTAACAAAATATCTTCTAAACCCACAAATTTAATTAAACAAAGGGATCCACGATTAGTTGTAACATTAAACTTTATTTGACAAACACTTACTTTAACTGTAAAATAAAGACTGAAAAATACTGTAGGCTGTTTAGATTTGTAAATTTTTTTTAAATATATTTTAACACGGACGGAGCCATTTTCTTTACATACAAAGCATTCTGGGTAAATGATGACATGGATAGGTCATCAGTGCGAGGCTGCTAGCGAGCTATATCCACCCTGAAGGTTAATCTTGGACAATATCTGATGATCGACTCTTTTAAATGAAACCAGAGAGCGTTGACAGAGAATGGATATAGCTCGCTAGCAGCCTCGCACTGATGACCTATCCATGTCATCATTTACCCAGAATGCTTTGCGTGTAAATAAAATGGCCCCGTCTGTGTAATATAATTTTAAACTTTTAGTTTAAAATTTATGAAAACTAAACATCCTACAGTATTTTTACAGTCTTTATTTTACAGTTAAAGTATACTGTATGTTTATCATATAAAGTCTAATGTTACAACTAATTGGGGATCCCTTTAAAGCAGGGGTGTCAAACTCCAGTCCCCGAGGGCCGCTATCCTGCATGTTTTAGAGGTTTTCTTGCTCCAACACACCTGATTTTGATCGCTGGGTGATTAACAGGCTTCTGCCCAATTTGAAGAGTTAATTCAATCACTGAATCAGGTGTGTTGGAGCTGGAAAACCTCTAAAACATGCAGGATAGCGGCCCTCGAGGACTGGAGTTTGACACCCCTGCTTTAAAGTAATTAAAAGATGTACAGATGTGGACAAAAATGTTGGTGCCCTGCTCTATTAATGACCAAATAGCCCACAATGGGCACTACATGAAACTGACACAAGTAATAAAACTAACAATTAACCAGTGAAAATCACACTTTGATTTTGAATTTTAGCTCAACAGAATCATTTAAAAAAATGAATAAAACACCTGGACAGAAATGTTAACCAACCTAATATTTTGTTGCACAACCTTTTAAAGCAATCACTGCAATCAACCGGTTTCTGTATTTGTCATTGAGACTTCACCTGTTCACAGGTATTTTAGCCCACCCCTCATGGGAAAACTGCTCCAGTTGTCTCAGGTTTGAAAGGTGCCCTCTCCAGATGTTCCAGCAGGATTTAGATCAGGGCTCAGAAAGACTTCAGAACAGTCCAATGTTTGGTTCTGATCCCTTCTTTGGTGTTTTTAGCTGCGTATTTTGGGTCATTATAATGTTGGAAGACTCAAGAACAAGCTTTCTAACACAAAGCAGCACATTTCTCTTCAAAATGCCTTGATAGTCTTGAGACTTCATCATCCCACAGTGGGACGCAGTATTCCTTTCAAAAGCATCATTTTGTCTTTATTTTGATTCCATCTGTAAGGTCACAGTCCCTTCCTCACAAATATATTCTCATACATTTTAATCAGCTGATGATTTGTTCTGTCTCCTAACTCCGTCCATGATTAAAACTGGCATTTATCTTTGCTGCACTGAATGAACATGAATGTTAACGTGAAACATTGACCTTTAAACTTCCTGGGAAAAAACAAAACACCAAATCAGCCAAAACTTTTTAATATTATATTATTGTCATCATTTTAGTTTGGCATCATCTAAAAATGAAAGACTGAATATCCCAGCAGCTGTTCTCCATCAAACCAAAACCTTCATTCCAGTGTTTGCTTCTGGTCCAGACTTTTTTTTTTTTTTTTTTTAGTGGTAGGGCAACTAACACGCTATCTGCAGCCATCGTAAGCTTTTTATCCATTTTACCGGTTTGTTCTCAAATGAAACGACCCACTTCCCTCCGGTGGTCTCGGTGAGACAGGAGACAATTACTTCAAGCTGATGGAAGTTCCATCCAGGAGCCCTGAGGTCAGAGAAGTGGTGGCTGCTAAAGTACTGAGAGTTGGTGGTGTGTATGTGTGTGTGTGTGTGTGTGTGTGTGTGTGTGTGTGTGTGTGTGTGTGTG